AGGTGACCGGAGATGGAGACAGTGAAGGTGACCGGAGATGGAGATGGTGAAGGTAACCGGAGATGGAGACGTGAACTCATGGGCGAAGTTGTGAAGCCCAAGCTGGAAGAGATGAGTGGGTGGGAAGGGTAAAGATGGAAGAAATGGTATCTGAATGGTTGAGTGAATCCTTAGATGCTAAATCGTTAAGAGGCTTTTGTCACCATTAAGAGGTCCTTTTTTTTTTGCCAAACAACTCTAGCCTCTTAGCGATTAAGAGGTGTCCTCTTAATGTCACCATTAAGAGGCAACCAAACAGCCCCTTACTGATGTTAAGTAAGTAACATCTAGATTTCGGAATTTGAATTCCTTACCTTTATATTTTCAAAGGTGAGTTAATGAACAAAACACTTATATAATAGTACGTTTCATTTACCTTGTAAGAGTGATCATCTTCTTGTTTTCCTTCCAAATCAAGGGCAACCTGATATTTACACCCAGCCAATCACAAACAGGAAGAAAATGAATAGCATGTCTAGATACAAAATATAATGAACCAAGATATCAAACCTGATCCAATTTCTGGAACAAATGAATGTCTAGAGTTCTAATCGTTCATTATTCTGTAATTTTCTTTTGTTGAAATAAATTTTTTCCTGGGTTATCCACTTCGTCAAAAAGATGTTCTGTTAGTCCATGCATGATCAATCGATTTATCTATAAATATAGTTACAGTTTGTTTAATATATAATCAAAATCAATGCCCAAAGTATTTGTAGTTCAAAGATGATAGTTATACTTGGCACCATCACATATTCCAACTGTTTTTTTTTTCAAGAAATTCAAATAAGGCTCCATTTTATATACACACAAAATTATATGTACGATTCTCCCACGTCTCATGATGTTTCTATGAAATGATTCTTGCCTTACTCGTATAAACTGGCAGGTTTCTAAAGATACTCGGTATAAACTTGTTGCTAAATTTCAAAAGTGGTAAACAAGGCTACTTACAGAAACCAGAGTGTCTCAAAAGTCATGCATAAGGAAGTAGTGTGGTGGAAATAGAGAGCATAAGGAATCAATTGAAATTGCTAGAGCTCTGCAATTACAATCTAATTTTTCTTTGTGGACATAGTCTACTTGTTGTTACTCACATTTCAACCTTCTTCCCTTATCAGCTCCAAATTTTAAAATTGGAATGCTCTTCGGAAAGCCAGCCAGTACAATCATATTATGACGATAGGATGCTTATGTTTTGTTGTTCACAACTTTGAAGGCAAGTTTGATTCAAGAGCACCTAAGCCATGTGTTGCTAGACATAAAGCATTGAGCAATGTTTTAGTACTATTGTATATAAGGGTGCGTTTGGTACGCTGGACAGAGTGGGACAGGACAGGACAGAACACATTTGTCCTACGTTTGGTGTGGCTAAATGTGGAACTAAGTGGAACTAAGTTGGACAAGCATGGGACACATCTGTTCCACCATTACCCCTGGAACTAAGTGGAACAGAAACATTTTTACCACACTATCCCTTCCCCCTTTCTTCCCCACATCGCACCCTCCATCTCCTTCTCCATCTCCTGGACACGCGTGTTCCACCATCTCCTTCTCCATCTCGACGGCGACGGAAGTTCCCTTCTTGACGGCTCCATCCCTTCTCCTCCCCATCGACGCCCCTGCACCTGCACCTGCAGAAATCGGCGCCCCTGCACCTGCCAAAGTCCGCCTCCATCGCTTCTCCTCCCCCATTGAAGGCGACATCCCTCTCTCCATACTCAGGTACATGATTGCTTCATCTCGATTTTGTTGCTAATCGGCTGTTTGCTTGAACCCGAAATCGATTGCTTGAACCGATTTCTTGTTTGCTTGAACCCTAAATTGGCCTTTTCTTAGTTTGAGGAACCCAAACGCACCCTCTGTATTGTTGCTTCCATCTGGTTTGGTTCTAACAGACCCACAAATATTTAATACCAACACTGGTTGTTGAATGGCTCATGAATCCAAATAGGCAGCAAATATAAGGAAATCTCKCACATTGTTAAGAAAGATTGAGTTATCATGTGTAAACAATTTGGTTCTAACAGTCCCACAAAAGATTGAGTTATCATGTTAAGAAATGCTTACTGTTTTATGTAGAATAGATGCGTATTGATGAATATAGTTGGAACATTTATATTGATTATTTAGTGAAAAAAAAACACTAAACAGCTCATTGGGGGTAAATTGGTCATTTTAACCAGTTCTGTCCTGTCCTGTTATGTCTTACCAAACGCTGAACAGCTGTCCTGTCCTTTCCTGCCCCGTCCTGTCCCGTCCTGTCCCGTCCTGTCCTGTCCTATCCTGTCTGCGCACCAAACGCACCCTAAGTTCATCTACTATACTTTAGGCAATCATCAACATGATACTTTTCTATTCAAGACCCTCCATCACAATAAGTAGTAGTATCTGTTTTCAAACTAAAGATACAACTCATGACATCTTTGGATGATATGTGTAATCAACCAGGTAATCAAGTTCAGGCAAATGATTAAATTCAAGTAGTATCTGCAAGTACAAGAAGTTTGCCTTAAAATTTCAATGATTTCAAAGCCTAATACATCATCAACATGTTAAATATAATAGCTCAATGAGCTAAAAGTCTCAAAGGTCCATCAATAGCTTGACAACTGTCATGGAACCTACCACTCAAAAGCACGAACTCAATGATGGATTATTGTAACAGAATGGATTGTTTAATTACAAGTCAATGGAGATTGGATTACCATGGAATTACCACCCAAAGATGCAGGCAACAAATGGATATATGAAGTCATATCAATTCTCTCAGTTTTTTCCCCTTATCTAATTGAACTTTAGGGACCAAAGGCTTGTTCAAATTCATTTCAACCTTATGCGTGCAAATTTTCTAATCCACATGAGAGATTGATGAGTTCAAAGCAAGGTCAGTTGCAAAGGGAGACACTCAAATCCTTGGAATAAGTTTTTTTTAACCCGATTTTTTGTGTGTCGAAAAATGACCACAACAAGATGTGCTTTGGCTATAAAAACAGTTTTTAAGGATTGGCTTTTACATCAAGTGGATGTAAATAATAAATTATGCATGGAGATCTTAACGAAAAAGTGTATTTTCACCTCTGCAAGCATAAAATGATAGAAAATTCTAGTCTTGTGTGCAAACTAAACAGCAAGTACTTGTATGGTCTAAGGCAGTGACATGTAAAATTGACAGAAGCACTGGGCAAATTTGTTTGCAAACCTTGTAGACTATTCTCTTGTCAGTTCTAACAAAGGAGAAGGTCATTATAAAATCTCTGAATTCTGTTATTCATGTATATTACACCCATGCCTCATATACACATAAATACATACATACCTACATAAGAACACTAAATAGCTTTTTCGAAGAAAAATATAGTTGTCTACATAGTCAAAATTTGGCACAGAGTGAGTAATTCTAAAACCAAAAACAATTAGAAATTATGTTGTTCTCAGGGAGATGTATAAACGTAAATTAACTTACTTTTTGCAGTGCTAATGCCTTCTCAAATTCTTGTTGAAGTCCCAAGACTTGCTCAAGTTTTTGCACAATTTGATTCATCGTTGGCCGTTTGGATTTATACTTTTCTAGGCATTGATATGCAATAACTGAAAAAGCCTCCAAGGAATCTGGGTTCATTTGTTCCCTCAGAATGGGATCTATGATCTCGTTTAATTTCCCCACTTCATAATGGTGACGAGCAAATGGACCAAGAAGTTGTTTGTGATCTTCATATGTTTCATATGCTAGCCTTCCACATAGGACTTCATATAATACCACCCCAAAAGAGTATACATCTGACTCTTTTGCTACAATGCCAGTTTGTATGTATTCTGGGTCCATATAGCCTGGTGCCCCAAAGATACCGAAAATGGTCGAATCCATAGAAGCCATCATGGAGAGCCCAAAACCACCTATCTTTGCCTGCCAACCTTGGTCTAATAGAATGGTTCTGCTCCTCAGGTCACGGTGAAGGACACCACTCTGGCCTTTGACACCATTGTGAAGATATTCCAAGCCACGAGCTGCACCCAGACAAATTTGGAGACGCTTCAACCATGTGAGCTTTGCACTACTCACATATTTGTCAAGGCTTCCATTTGTCACAAACTCCTGAACAAGGATCTTCTCATTATTCTCATCACAGAAGCCAATAAAAGAGACAATATTTGCGTGTTTATATGAAGAAAGCACTCTGATCTCATTTAGGAAATGGTCTTTTCCATGTCTAGTTGTTCGATCAACCTGCTTTGCTGCCACCATGACAACCCCGTTAGAGAGTGCAAGTTTTCCTTTATGCACCTTCCCATAACCACCCACTCCAATGAAATTTTCTTGATCGAAGTTATTGGTGGCTTCCTGTATGTCTTTCAATGGAATTCTAAAGTGCTCCAACTCTCGGAGGATCGACATCAAGTTCCAATTTATCAGGTAAATTTGGGAGAGAAGTAAAAAGGGATTGTATTTGTGTGGACAGGGCATGAAAGTCCAAAGGGGCATCAAAGTCCAAAGTCCAAAGGGGGCATCAAAGTCCAAAAGGGCATCAAAGTCCAAAGTCCAAAATCCAAAGTCCAAAGTCCAAAGTCCAAAGGGGCATCAAAGTTCAAAAGGGCATTAAAGTCCAAAGGAGCATCAAGTTGTCATCTACTATTATTTTTGAGTTCAATAATTTGGAAATTAGACAATTGGGCTTTAACTATAAAAACAAACCCAAGGCCTAGTAGTGATGAATACTGAATGCACATCATGAACAGGTTAATGTCGTCATTCCAACAACCCAATCTAATTTCTATTGTTCTTCAAAGTTAGACTATTTCGATTTTCAAGGCATGAAGTTGTCTTTTCAGCCGATTAACGGTCATGAAATTAGATTCAAGAAATCAAAAATGGAATTTCAAATTATTGATTTCTACAGTTGATTGAACTTACCGAGTTGTTGTGTGAGTCATATTATGATTTATGAATCTTTAAATCGTTTTGCAAAAAAAAAATCTAAATTTCTAACTGATTATTATAAAGTTGGGTCATGTGGTCGTGCGAGTTACTGACCTACTAAGCTAAGGCTAAGGTTAAGGCTAAGGACTTTTGTCATTTTGATAATGAGTCTTCCTCTTGCATATTGAAATATCGGAGAATTGAAATTTTCAATGCACATGAGCTTATCACTGTATCAACATAGCTGGAACACACTACACAACATTAACAACATATTGTGATATTGTCTTAATTATTGGACACTTGTTCTTTACAATGCACAATAACATAGATTATGAATTTTACAATTTATTATTGTTCTTTTGACTTTTGTTTACTTTGAGGTTTGAAATTACCGTATTAGATTTAGGGGCCGTTTGATTGGTTTTTTATTAAGTTCCATATGGATAAAATTGTTTGTATGCATTAATCTGTTTGTATCAGTTGGGAAAGTTTTTATTTGGGAAAGTTTTTTCGCAGATGTACGGAGCATTTTTTAGTTGGAAGGGACATGTTTGAAAAAAAAACTTGGCTTTCTATATGAAGCTCCTCCTAGAAGCTTACCAAATAAATCGCTTTTTATATCATTAAACCAGTACGAAACAGTCATGCATAGTTAAGTGAATAAGCTGTTAGTTCCATTAAACTCATTAAGCTACTAATAGATAGGCCCCTAGCCTTTAGTCGTAGACCTGCAACTTTTGAGTTTTACTTTTTGCTTACTATGACAGTAATTTGGATGTAATTTACTATTTTAGTCAAAAACTGTTTTTCTTGTCTTTTAAGTCCCATATATTAAAATAAAGTTTCTAATTTGGTAAAGGGAAAACTGGAAAAGTTAATCCAAGATTTATCCTTTTATCATTCCATACTTTGTATTCGGGGTTTTAGTTTTTATGTCCCCCTCCTTTTTATTATAATTAATAAAAATCAACATGAGGATGAGACACTCAACTTGAATAGGTTCTAAACTCTTTAGAAATCGCATGTTTCGTTATTTCATTGGCTTAAAAAATAGGCTTAGGGGCATTTTATTATTATTTTCGCACAGGGCATCAAAAATCTTAGGACCGGCCATGTTTGTATCATGTATGTATAGTGTACTGTGTACAAATTGAAAAAACGAAAGTGAAGGGATAGCTGAGATTCTCAATTGTACAAACATACAAACTCAAAATACAGTAATCAAAAACCAGAAAGAAACTGTAATAAGATCTCTCATAGAAGACACACAGATATTTTGGGTAGAACGAGACAACAAAAGCGACGATGCGGACGGAAGTGTGTATATATATATGACAAGAAGTTACAAATTTGCCCTTCAACTTTATCCATTTATGCTCCTCTACCCTTCTAGAATTTTAGCAGCTTCAATCCAGCCCTCCTTGTTTTGCATCTTTAGGATGCGTTTGGTATGCAGACGGGACATGACAGAACAAAACAGAACAGAACAGGACAAGACAGGACAGCTGTTTAACGTTTGGTAAGACATGACAGGACTCGACAAAACTGGTTAAAATGACCAATTTACCCTCAATGAACTGTTTAGCATTTTTTTCACTATATAATCAATATAAATGTTAACAAATACAATGTGCAAAGTATAACTTACATTAAACCACTACTACTTGCAAAAATACATTTGCAAAAATACATTTGCAAAAATACATGATTTCATAATCAACTAATAATATATGAAAAAGGTAAATATAATATAAGCATCAAGAATTCATTATCGAAGCAAATCTATATGCATTCCATACTAAGAAGAAAAAACTACTACCAACAAGCATATAATCAATTAAAATGGATTAAATATCAAATAGTAAAAAAATTTCAGCAACAAGAAAACAATTTGGCTAGTGATCCCATATAGTATCATCACATTCACAAAACTTGGTTTTCAGAAAACAAAAGAATTCACCTATCACCTGTATAATCACTCTTGTAAGATCAAAATCGAATATTTACTACTTTGATCAAGAAAAAAAACATATAAAACTCATCGAAAATAACAAATTGCAGGCGTGAACTTTACGCAATACATTTGACGGTGATAAAATCAAGAAAACAATTTATGTAATTTATTAAAATATAATAGAATAATTATTTTTTATAACAAAATGTATCATTTGAAGTTTTCGTTAAAACAATTAAAATGACACCAAATAAAAAGTTTATATGGTTTTCTATTTTTATTTTTATATCTTTTCTACATTATTTTTTATTATTAATATATAATAAATTACATAAATTAATAAAAATATAGAAACCGTATAAAAATAATATTTTGAGAACAGTAAAATGAAAGTTTAAGAAACATAAAATACAATAAATAAAATTTAAAGAACGAATAAAATGTAAAAGAAAGACATATTTGATGTTTTAGAAGATAATTAAGTTTTATTTTGAGGTTATATTTGTAAAATATAAGTATGTTTCATCTTGTTCCACCCTGTTCCATGGGGTAGGGGTGGAATAGGCCTGTTCCATTTTGTTCCACTCTGTTCCACATAAAATTCATGCCAAACATGGGTCTGTCATGTTCTGTCTTGTCTCTGTACAGTGTACCAAACGCACCCTTAGTGAATCAACTCTTTTACACCAACAATTCTAAAACATAAAACTAAAGTCCATAAATGTCAAGATTGGATAAAATAAAGTTACATTTAACATCCTCCCTCTATCTTGACATTTAAACAAGTCAATCAACTTCAACTTGAACATTTATGCTGACTTATTTCAAGAAAATATCAACGGGTTGTTTAGTATAAAGAATTTTTACAATTTTTTACACACCTGCACTAACATTTTCTCGAACTTGATGAACATCAATTTCAATATGTTTATTGCGTTCGTGAAAAACAATATCATAAGCAATTTCTATTGCAGATTTGTTGTCAATGTATAGACTTACAGGAAGTAAATCCTCAATTCTCAAGTCTATTAAGATTTTAAGAACCCAAATTATTTCACAAGTTACATAAGTCATTCTTCTATATTCTGACTCAATAGAAGAACGAGAAACTGTATTTTTCTCCTTACTTTTCCAAGAAATCATAGAATTTCCTAGAAATAACCAGTCTTCAGTAACAGAACGTCTTGAAGAAAGACACTTACCCCAGTCAGCATCAACAAAATCAGATAAACGAAGAAACTCCGACCTTGTAAAACTAACATCTTTTCCTGGTGAAGACTTTAAGTAACTGAGAACTCTTAATGCCAATTTAAGATGAGACTGACGAGGAGAGTGCATGTACTGACTTAAACAATGAACTGCAAAAGCTATGCCAGGACGAGGTGTAAGAAGATAGATCAATCTATCAATTAACTTTTTGATAACCAATATAATCATGTAAAGAAGGATCATTAGAAACAGTCCCAACGGAATCAGTAACAGTTAGGTTCATATCCATAAGACTGGTAACAAGTTTGCATCCAAGATACCCAAAGTCATTTAGTAATTCTAAACAATATTTTTTATTTGAGACATGCATATATCATTATCAAAGTCAAGAACCTCAATTCCCATAAAAAACTTTAACTTGCCAAGATCCTTAATCAGAAAATTGTTTTTCATATAGGTTTTGACTTTATTTATCTCTAACAAATTATCCCAGTTAATACTATATCATCAACATATACCAAAAGCATAACAAACCCAGATTCACCATATTTAGTAAAAAGAGAATAATCATTTACACTTTGAGTAAAGCCATTAGCAACTAGGCAAGAGGATAGTTTTGCATACCAATGACGAGGTGCTTGCTTTAAACCATAAGAGACATTACAAATTTACAAACTCTTTTATCATCAGGATTAAAATAACCTTCAGATAAAGTCATATAAACATCTTAAGATAAATCACCATATAAGAAAGCATTATTAACATCTAGTTGAAATAATGGCCAATTATATTGCACAACAAGAGCAACAATACACCTAAAAGTGACCATTTTTATTACAGGTGAGAATGTTTATTCATAATCAAGACCCTCTATTTGACTGTACCCTTTAGTAACTAACTGAGCTTTATAACTTTCTATCTCTCCAGAGGATTTGTATTTAATTTTATAAATCCACTTACACCCTATAAGTTTTCTTCCTATAGGTAAATCAGTAACAACCTAAGTCTCATTTCTATAAAGAGTTTCTATTTCATCACTCATAGCTGCTATCCAATGCTTGTCATTACAAGCTTCTAAAAAAGTCTTTGGTTCAATGAATTTATTCTAATTTGATACAAAACAAAAAAAAATCAGAATTCAAATATGAGTAGTTCACAACTCTTTCTAAACCATATTTAAGTTTCCCTTCTATAACAATATCATCAAATTTATGAGGAGAATTGGATGCTCTAGCTTCTAACAGATTTAGACATTCCTTGATTGTTAGAACTAGTGAAAACACCCTAGAGTGGAGACCCGAACTTCTAGCATTATTGGGACCTTGGTGAGCATCCAAATATTGCAAACCAGATTCAAATTCATCCTTTGCAGCCACCTCTGAGCTACTCAGTGGTTGCAAGCTGGCAGCTCCTTTAGAATTTTCAGGGACAACTATATTCTGAAGAGTATTTATGCTACCTAGCTGCTGCCTACTGGCAGCTCTATATGGGCTACTCAGCAAATCATGGTTACTACCAAGAGATGAGAGTTGGTTACTTTCCTCCAGACGAGGTAGATCTCGAACCTCATCATTGGGCAGTAAACTGGAGAGATTAGTAGGAGAACCAAAGGTAGAGTCAAATAAATCTAAAGTATTTACTTCACTAGCAGTATGATAATGCAACTTGTTTGAACTCATCTTAAAAGGAAAAATGGTTTTGTAAAATTTTACATCACGAGAAACAATTACCTTATTCGAATCAAGACTAAGCAATTTGCATCTCTTTTAGGAATTAGCATAACCTAAAAGAACACATTTTTCAGCTTTAGAAGAAAACTTATCAGTTAAATTGGTCTTGGTGGCAAACAACGACACCCAAAATTTCTCAAATGAGTCAGAACGGGTTGGAAACCATACATGGAGGAAGATGTTCTATTTATGAGATAGGTAGCAGTTAAAATATACTCACTCCACATGTTTAAAGGTATACCACCCTGAAACATGAGATCTCTAGCCATATTTAGTAAGTGTCGATGCTTGTGTTCCACAATACCATTTTGTTGGGGCGTGTGAACACAAGAGGTTTGATGAACCACACCTTTAATTTTAAAGAACTCACCTAATTTGGAATTAGTAAATTCAGTTCCATTATCACTTCTTAAAACTTTAACATGTCTGCGAAATTGAGTTCCTAGCAAATTGTAGAATAGCATAACATTGTTAATTTTCATCGGTGATTTGTGACGACTTGACGACGGACTACCAGCAACATAAAAATCACATGGTTTTGGCCAATACAGAAACGGACGGGTGATCCATGAATGAGATAAACATATACCAACATCTTGCAAAATTGTTCAATTGAAAAAAAAAATGAAGAAAGCAAAAACTAATTTTTAATGTATGATGCTACTGAATTGGTTATGTTGTTGACTACTATTGTTATTCGCTATCAATAATTTTCAAAAGCAAGTTACAAAAATGTTGTACTTACAACAGTTATGCTACTGAATTTTATGAAATTACTAATCGCTTTTATTTTTGTAAAATGTAGGAGGGTCATTAGCAAGGCATGCAGCAGAGGTACGACTCTAAGCCCATCACTCGTCCTACAAAGTGTTAGAGGTGGAATAAGGGCCAATTCTTAGGCTTTTTGGACGACTCATGATCTTGTTTATGTTATGACCGGTGATCCCTCCAATTGCAGTACTTGTTTCTTCTATAAGAATGTCAGTAACTTTCATCACCAATGAATTACTAGTCGTGAGTGTCAAATGCTCAATATTTGTAAGTATTTGAATTATAAGAGAAACTGCAGATGATGAAGTTGGCGGACCACCATGTATGCGTTGGGAGAAGGAGGTAGAGTGGGAGGTTGATCTTGAGGGCACAACGGGAGGCAGAGCGGGCAGTGAGTATGGATGAGCTAGAGACCGAGCGGAGACATTGGCCGAACACGCAACATAGAGAATTGTAGGCTCGATTTAATAAGTTTATGCATAGATTCCCCATCCACCCGTTTTACCTAGTTTTTTTTTTGTACGAACTATATGGATATATTTTATATATTATCAAACACCGAAGGTGATAACCTAAGCCTTGATCCTTTCTTTTTTTCAATATCGTAGGTGGATCACATGTGATGATACTCACACAATAACGATGAAACCTAGATAATTTAATATTGAATCGTTGTCATATAAACCTATATTATCATATGTGATAAATATGCAATACTACATTTTTCTCCCGTTAACAACTTGGAATGCGTAACCAACATACTTATCATATGTGATACATTGTCACTTGTGAATATATATGTACGTGATTTTAGAGATAATAAAATCATCAAAATTACAGATGAATGAAAAATCACATTATTAACCGAAATTACAATTTTCTTTTAATTTTAATTATGGATTAAATAATTTGGAGATCGATAAATGTTCTCGAATTTTCGTAAGACAATGATGTTCTCAGCGTAATAAGGGATTTTCACCTTGGATGCACATTAGGTTGAGATGCACCGGCATGAGATGCACTTGATCAATTCTCATATCAAGCATGATTCATGGATGGGTTTGGGATTAAAGGTGATCAAGAGTCCAAACCTCTTCTTACGCTTCTCACATTAACTCTTCTTCTCACACTATCATCGCGCGCGCGCGTGCGCACACACACACACACATATATATATATATATATATATATATATATATATATATATAGCCATAGATTATTTTGAGAAATAGTAAATATTTGAGAAGTAAAGAAGTGATCTTAGCATTCATACGGTCAAAATGGATTTGACTGATCAAATTATGCGGCTTTGACTGATCAAAATTTACGGCTATGCCAAAAACAAAGGAATAGTTTTGAAACTTTTACAAAATAGATGACAAATTGGTTTGTACGTAAACCCGTGTGATTCACATATGAATTATACGTTAATATGTAAACCTTGTAATTCACATATAAACTATTTTAACTGATTCATATATAACCGATGTGATTTATATATGAACTAGTTAACTGATTCACATATGAACCATTGTGATTCACATATGAACTTATTAACTGAGAAAAATATTAAGATGTCCCCACTTAACGGAATTTTTTTAACAGTGTTTGTAAGATAGACCAAAACCGAGCAAAATGACAAACTATGATGGCAAATTTAAAATGACAAACCATAGGGGCCAAATCTGTAATTTACCCTGTCAAATAAACATCCGGTCGCATTTTAATCACAGGAAATCGAACCCGGTTCGGCGGCCATTGAAAGGCGTCTTCCTCACCCTCAAATTTTGCTTGGTTTCAAAATGCCGTTATCCAGTATCCCAACTGCATTGAGCTTAGCAACTGCAATCCCTGTTCTTCAACACCAAGAGGTAAATCAATGCCCATCCTATAAAAGATCCTCTCCATTGTTGTCGAATTTCTCGAAAATTCACACAATCAAGCTAGAATGATCGTCTGTTTGTTTGTATAAATTGTTGATAAGTGGGAACATATCGGGTGAATAAGCTAACTATCTTGTAGGTGAAAGCGAATGTGAGTTTTGGAAGCCCAAGAAGAGTAGTGGTGAACAAGATTGGTAGAAATGTTGGATTGTCTGTTAGGTCAGTTTCTCCAGGGGATGCCACAGGTTCTTCGATTCAATTTGATGTGCCGTTTCCTGGTGACTACGAAGAACTTCTTGATCAGGTTAGACTTAAACAATAGTGTTCTGGTTTTCTAATAGTTTCATACTCCCTGTCCACAAAAAGAGTCGGCTTCTGTTTTCCAAGTGCGAATTGAGTCACGTTAAACTAAAAAGAGTTGTCTTAGTTATAGATTAAAGACGCTAATTACATTAATTTAACAACGTATTACTATACTAAACATGATGATCCCCAAAAAAAACTAAAAACATCCATGTCAATCCTAAATTTGATACATAGAAGGTTCGAGCTTCTAATATCAAAAGTATGGTATGATTTTTAAGGTGCATTTAGTGCTATATTATTGTTGATGCTGAGTCTCATCCTCATCTTTGTTGGATGTATTGTAATGCACCAATATCTGTGCACATTTTTTGCTAGAGTGATTTACTCCCATGATCCACCTCCAATGTAAGAGTGAACAGAGAGCCCTTGTATTATTTTGATAGTGTAGAAGAGTTATTAATATTTTTCTATTTGCCTATGGTATTTAAATTTTCAGGTGGATTAGTATAGAAGCTTGAACCATTTAGGAGTGTCTGTTTGGCATATAAATGTCCAGAGTATGGCGGTGTTTAGGCTTGTAGATTTTTTGAATTTTGGGTCTTCCTTGGGTGGCAAGCGTCGTTGGGTTGTTGAGCCAATTTTCATGTGCCCATAGCCAATGGGTTAAGGTTTTTCGTTTGTGGCAAGTTTCCCATTAAAATCGTCAGTTCATCATCCAATAAAAAAGCGGGGATTGAAGTGACGAAGAGGAAATCAAAGACCATTCGTGAAGACAAAATGAGACATACAGTCGTGCAACTACGGAGGCTCAACCATGATTGCGTTTGTGGTTGTAATAGATTTGGCTGTAACAGCAAGGGCAACGACTTCTTAGAGGAGTATTTTAAGTCCATTTATGATCTTTATAAACCACCTCTGAATCCAAAACTTGCTTTAGTCTCTGTTTGTGGGGACATACATCCCTCCCTACAACTCATGAATTTAGATTTACTACAGGAACAATGTTTACTCAACACCAGTTAGGCGTTAATGAAACTCCTCAAACGAATTTCATAAACTAATAATAAAATTGGCAATGTTTGGTTATTGGACTACATTATTTGATTTGGCATGATCGTATTTGGGTTCGGGTTAATGCTCACTAGGAGTGAGGTTTGAGCTTTGGAGAACATTTGTTCTTACTTAGGTTAGATGGTGCCTAATCCAATTATCAGCCATGTCAAGCTTGGAGTTGGTTGAGTTGTCTATGCCACTATGATGGGGTTTGGAGAAGTACCGACCCCACCTCAAGGCAAAACTATTGGCATGCACCCAATGATCCACCTATAACACCTAAGGAAGATCTAGAACTGAAGTCCCTACATGAATGGTGAAAAAAAGCTACAATATGGAGATAGAATCATCTAGGGCTCCCACAAATTATGTCTCCTTGGGTGGGAATCTACCCCTATTGGCCACATGTATAAGAAAACTACAGAGAAGAAACTACCTAAGGAAACATCTAAGATGTTATTACTACCTACGCCCTAGATGAAGAACAAATGCAGAATGAATATAATAAAGCACAAATGTAAATACTTGTTTGGCTTATGGAAAATGATGGATCAGATGCAGGAAGGAAGTTTTAGTGGGACGATGCTATTTTTAAGAGAAAACCAACTCACACACCCATGTCTCGAAAGAGCCTCAAACTCACAATCTATGGGTTGTAAAGTTCACTTGGTATCAGTCCTCTTGGTCTGAAAAATTTGATGTTATCTATTAATGTGCACATGTGGGAAAGTCGAAATGAGGGAAGGAAGAATACTTGCAAAAATTTCAGCCAACATTACAGATTAAACATGCAAAATGGATTGTCCTGATGAAGCAAGCTGAATATACATCATGATGACCTGGTTCAAAGACAACCCCTTCAAGGGCAATATACCATAGGGTAACATTACAAATAAGACACCCTTAGGGGTAAACTAGATTGCACTAATCAGGCAGGAGGCTCTTACAAGCCTAACCAGGCTGAGAGAAGCAGGATTTATGCAACACCTAATTAATCTAGAGTAAACAGCCTGGAAAAATGGAAGAAGAGACAGGACCGAATGTAAGAATCATAATGAAGAGTGGGGACAACTTGATTGCACAAAGAAGTGACAATGGGACAAACAACTTTGGTTTGTTATTTTTGGACGGGTAGACAAACTGCAATTAGCATGGAACTTAATCTAGCAACAAGACAAGATGACTGAATAGAAGTTAAAATCCTACGGACAAGCTACAAAAAGTCTACACGGTAATCTACTTCAGTGTCGATGTACGAATAGCACATGGAAGTTGAGATGTTAGTGTAAGGACAATTTGTGTTTTGACACCAATTGTAACCTAGAACTCTAGAAGCAGGCGAATAGGTTATTTAAAAAATTAAGATCTTGTTAGGATTTTGTTTGCATTTATGCACAGAGATGCATCTTAAAAAGTCATACATACTCAAAACAGGTTTGTTACTAACAAAGGGACCAATTTATCAATCATCAAAACAGAAGGGCTGTATAATTAAATTTGGACAGTTTCCAAATTCTATTGGGACAGATAGTTATTACAGGTGCCAAACCAACGAATGCTCAACCGTTGAATGTATGGTCCAGACCTAGCATCTACAAACCAGAATAGAGCTTGAATATCATATATCCCAAACAAGCAACCCTAATGGTTCAAGCTTCTACATTGATCCACTGTAAAAACCTATACTGATTATTGAAGGTCAAAACATCACTTCCTCTTCTACTTGGGACCAAATATGTATGCTGGTGCTCTCTACTCCCTTTTACAGTTGAGGTGGATCAAGGGGGTAAACTCTTCTATCTATTGGCATGAACAATGATGTGTATGTTTTGGTTTTGCTTTCAGAAGAGATGGTTTAGACGTTTAGTGCTTATCTATTAAAGCATGCCAAGGTTATTTATTTCGACAAAAAAGAGGAAATGGAAAGAAATATATGTATAGTTATGTTCATCCAATACATAGTGTTTTGAGAATTAAAAAGATATTTATATGGATGCATGGAGTTTATTAGTTTATCGATGGCACATATAACATAGGCAGTTTTTCACTTCTACAGAATAACCCCATGAGCAATCACTGAAAGTTGTTGAGTGGTTACGCTTAGACCTATTCCCTATCGGGGGCCAGGTCCATTCCTTCCTTGCCAAGGACAGCTGCTCGACCAAGCAACCAATTACCACCCTAAATCGTAATCCCATTCGTACCATGTCTACTTCTTTATTATGGATCATGTCTTCGAGTAACATTTCAGCCTTCAATATCCTCTCCCTCTTGGCTATTTGTCAGTTTGACAATTGGATGCTCAAGGTATAACTCAAATCTGAGAAACCTTCATACTTGAGTTCGGTCATCTTGTTGTACGCAAAATTCTTCCCTTTATGGCTTCTACTTCTTTTGAAACTTTCAAGTCTCAGCTTTTATCAAAGTTCACAAGTAACTCCCATGCCTTTCATGTGACTTTTTTTTATAGAAAACCATAGTGGACATAAAGTTTAGTGTTCCAGACAAGTGCCAATTCCACCTGTTTATCTGCTGATAGTAATTAGCATTACAGAGTTGAAAAAATTTGAATTATATTTTCTTTTCTCTCTCTCTCTCTCTCTCTCTATATATATATATATATATGTATATAGGGGTCATTCAAGTAAGAACCGATTAGTTTGTGGTAACCGTGAAATCCAATGTGAACCACTCGTTTGAGATATTTAAGGATATTTCTTAAATAAGCTAAAAGGATAACATAGTAATTCTATTTTTGACAACTAATCAAAAATTTTAATTAAATTTTTTAGAAGGAAATATTTAATTAAAATTAGTTACCTAGTATATCAATTACCTAATATGCATCTTATTTTAAAGACGTTTGTGAATCAAAGTGTATCATAGTGATAATGTTCACAWTGTTTCACGTGTATCACAATGTATTTTCTTTGTTCTATGAAATGTATCATAGTGTGCATTTTCGTTATTTTCATTGCCTTACAAAGGGTATCACATTGTGCATCTTGTATGTAAATCTGGGTATCACGGTGAATATAATTTGTAGGTATCAGAGTGAGTATCTTGTGTTCACATAAGGTTCATCGGAATAAGGTTCACCAAATAAGATTCACCCGAGAGATAAAAGAGGATATTTATAAAATCCCTAAAATACCCTTAATTAATATTTTAAGTTAAAAATAAACCAAAATTATTAATTTCCTAATTTAACCTTTGATTTATGGTTAAGATTGGATCTCACGGTTACCGCAAACAAAACAGTTCTCATTTGATTAGCCCATACATACATACATATATATATATAGATACATATATATATATATATATATATATATATATATATTCTCTTTTTCAAAGCTACCGCTTACTTTGCTAATTCTGAAACGTTGTTATTAACAGGCAAAAGAAGCAACTCAGGTAGCTTTGAAGGATGGAATACAGTTGATGGTGAGTTAGTTCATTCCTTTTTTTATTTATGGATGGGAGATGGAAGATTACATGTCTACAATTTCTATAGAGTTTGTACTCCACAACTTTCAACCACAGGAGATTGAGTTTCCAACTGCTGGGCTGGAATCGGTGCCAGGTTTGTCCTTGCTAAACATCCCCCCACCCCCCGTTTTTATATTATTTTTTGATTTAGTCTTCAAATTTATCAGTTCTCGTATCTACTGAACTTTCAATGGTCTTATGATAATTAAGCTCTAAATGTACATGTTAGGTGATGGTGAAGGTGGTATCGAAATGACCGGAAGTATGCAATTGATTCGTGAATTTTGTGACCTCCTCATAGTACCAGAAAAGGCTACACGAACCAGAATAGTATGTCAATAAACAACTCTCTCTCCGTAATTTAATATATTTAAAATTTTATTTTCTCCATTCTATCCGGGGAAATCAATTTCTTACACCCACATACAGCTCCATTATAGTACCATGTTCCCACAGAAATTCTTCAGCACATTTAGCATCCTTCTTTATCATCAAGAATGTAGTTGTGCATCAAGAATACAAATGCATAGAAGTTAGTTAACGAAAGGGAAAGTGAATATTCAATATGGTATTTCTAGAATTTTCCTTGACTTCATCCTGCCGTTTGAGCTTCAAAGGGTCAATCCACCCTTCATTTCACAGTTAGCAAGGTATATCTTGTATTTATAATATTATAGAAATGCAGTATCAAACGATAACAGATGAACTGTTGAGTATGATACAAACCCTCTTCAAGGGTTTGTATGTATTCTCGTTATATAACCAAGAGATACAAAAACACCTAGTATACAAGGAAATAATTACAAAGATACCTAAATGTACATAACCAAGGAAACTTCAGAAAATAAATTATTTACATAATATTTACCATCATGAACAACCGTTTGGCATTTAAAGAAATACTCAGTTCCACAATTAAAATCTACTTCCCAAACTCTGCAAAGTCGAAAGATACATGCTATTGTGAGTTTCTAGTTTGAACTAACTGTAGATTGTTGTTTGGACCATTGTTTTCCTTTTATGCAAAGTGGACCTGAATTGAGGAGATTAAGAGTTTAAGACCACCAATCCAGTTCTATGGTTTCATCAGGGCATAAAGATAACAATTTCAAATGTATTTGGTTTTAAATATGCAAGTTGCAACGATGCTATCCTTGCAAAAACATTAGAGCTTCATCTCTTTTGAGATCCAGGCTGTGTGACGATTTTAGAAGAATCAACATTTATCTACACTTTATAGATTTGCTGTTTCTTATTAACAGATCTATTCTTTTACTATATGTTATAAACTGATCCATCAAACCTTGCAGTTCTTTCCTGAGGCTAATGAAGTTCAATTCGCAAGAAAATCAGCATTCGGAGGTGCTTCTTTCAAGTTGGATTATTTAACAAAGCCCTCATTCTTTCAAGATTTTGGGATTGTTGAAAAGGTTAAGATGGTTGATCGGGTAAAGGAAGAAGATGAATTATTCATTGTCGGCTATCCTTACTTCAATGTCAATGGTATTCTCCAGCTCTTCCTTTTCCTTCCAAATCTAACTTATCACCAGGTCGTTTTAAGGCTTTAAGCCACCATAATTTTTGGCACACAGAAATGCTTGTTGTGGAAGAACTTTACAGGGAAGCAGTAGCAGCCACTGCTAGGCAAATGATTATATTCAATGGGGAACTTGATCGTATCAGATCTGGATGTATCCTTTCTTACGGTTATTTCTTAGAGCGATTTGACTTTAGAACCATCATGTATGGCTTTTTATGGTGAACAAACCATTGTTCTTGGAAAAATGCAACAAAAAACACTACGTGTTGATGAACAAGAGATTTTGGACAAAAGAGTGTCGTGTGTGATGGTTTATTTCTACATTTACACCACGAGTTGTCGAATACTACCCATCCTTGCAAAATATAGCATTTTTACAAAAAGATTGGTTAATTTTCAATGAAAAGCCAAGTAGCTAAAAAAAATTGTTAATTATTTTTCTGTTTTTAAAGTCATTATGCTCATTAGGTAGCTGTTAGCTGATCATCAGTTGATAACCTTTATTCATCCCTGATCCAGTTTCATCACCTTTTGACAAAACAAATGTTTGAGAAACTGAATTTGGTTGACATATGATTGTCCTTGAGATTAAAAATAAGATTACCCATCATTCTTCTATCCAAAGCTAGCTGCACTCTTGACGACACTCTTTCCCAAAATGGAAACCGTATATTACATCCATAATTTCAAAGGTCGCAGTGGCGGAGCCCTTTTCAGGTTTGCTGCTTATGCTCTTCATAACCTCCTCTTCACAACAGAAATTTAGCAATGACTTTCTGTATCGTTAGTCATTAGAAATTGTTTATCCTTTCAAAAGGTGATCGACTTCTCTAACCATGGTTCTTGTTCTTTTGTTGCTAACAAACCATCATAAAGCGGTGATCGACTCTACTACATATGGGATTTACTGGGTTTGTTTGGTTTGATGTGGTTTAGGTGTTATCCTGGCCCCTGGAAGGTACTAAGAAGATTAGGAAGTAGATATGTTTGTGTGCATGAACAAGAAGATATGCCAACCCTGAAGGAGGTTGCTTTGGATATTCTTCCCAAAGCTTAAAAATTCTCCGGTAGATTGAAATCTTAACTCCTTTTTTGTAAACTTGAAATCTTTTGAATGATTTTAATTTGTGAAAATTTAATTATGTTCTGTAGTATATATGGCTGCAGTCTGCCTCGGGTTTCACCTTCTTCGTGGTTAATACTTTTACAACTCGTGTGACCGTGACCATCTACAGAGAGATCCCCACATCATCATTTGTACGTTTTATTTGTTTCATTATTTCCTGGTTCTAGAATTGGTATTTAGCATATGAACATCTTATGCATCTATTTTAGGATTGATTTTGTGATAATTGGGTTTATCGGTTATAAAGTTTTGGGGTTATTTTGAATACTGGTAGAAAGCTGAGAGGTTCTGAAATTTTTCTTAAAATAATTAAAAAAAACCACCTCCTCATATATTTTAAAGTTGATTTATTTGAGATATTTTTACACACTTGGGGTTTGGTTAAGAAAAAGTGTGTGTGAGCTGTGGTTCGAGAAAATAGAAACCGGAGAAGGAAGAAGAATTAGTTGTGATTTTCTTAACTGAAATTTGTTGTTGATCATCCTCGTCTCTTTGTGATTATAAGGTGAGTTTTACTTTCAAAAACATCATTCAATATGTTTTTGATGAAGAAACCGTAGGGTTTCATACATGGGTTTTGAATGTGATATATGTTATTTTAGCATAGTTTTATGTTTTGATATGTGATTATCAACAGGTTGAAGTAAGAGTGACATAATCAGGAGAGGTGTATTATGAGCTAAGGGTGACATAATCCGGAGAGACATACACTAGGATAAGGGTGGACGTATTTTGAGATAAGGGTGGCATAATCAAGAGAGACGTATAGTGGGATAAGGGTAGCATAACCAAGAAAGACGTATACTGGGATAAGGGTAGTAAAACCTTCTGTATGTAAAATGGTATTTTTGATCATGTGGAAACTGATATTGCATCCTTGTGATGCGATAAATGTGGTTTATCGCATCTGTATGGTGCGATGAGTTGGCTTTATTGCATCTTTGTGATGCGAGGAAGGAAGTTATCGCATCCTTGTGATGCGAGGAAGGGGGTTATCACATTAGTGTGATGCGACAAGGTAAGATTATTGCATCAGTGTGATGCCACAAAATAAGGTAATCGCATCGTTGTGATGCGAGGAAATTAATATCGCATCTATATGATGCGACAAAGTTGATATGATGTGATAAAGTTGTGATCGCATCAATGAGATACGACAAGTTGGTATTTTTTATGTTTAATACGATGACTTTGTTATTTCATGGGTTGATGCGATAAAAATGAGGTTGTCTCATCTCAATGATGCGACAAACAGATTTGTTTTAATAAAAAAAAAACACTGTTTATTTGTTATTTATACAAATATGGCATTGTAAAAGTGTTTTGGTGATTTCACCATGTAATAACAATCAAAAAGGGATTTCTCATTAGACTCAAAAACTGTTTATTTGTTATTTATACAAATATGGCATTGTAAAATTGTTCTTGATGTATATGGAAAAATGTTGTAGCAAGTTGTACAATGTTAAATGAAATATGTGGCTGTATGCAAATATGGATATTGGGTGTTACAGATCTAGCCTAACAAAAGCACACCGTCTTCTAGTTTTTTGGCTAGAGCTGAGATTCAATATATATGCTTGGCTTACTGGCAAAAATATGCATTTGGAGCTTCTTCTTTTCTTGTTTTCAAACTTCGCTAGACTCATATAGAGTCGAAATTGAAAGAAGGGATTGGAATATGAGTAAACCGGAAAGGAATTTGATTAGGTTTAACCACGACTTTGATTGGTGGAAATTAGAATGAAATATATTAAAAGAATCTAAAGCTGTTTGGTTTTGAAATAACGATAAACAACAAAATACTATTTTCCGACACTTTTTTGTGATTTGTTGCTTAAATTATAAATACTAATAATATTACCATGTGTAGAATTATCATTATTGATATTATTACTATTATTGTGAGAAACAATGATAATAAGCTAATTATTATTCAATAGTAATTATAATAATATTATTGGTATTAATAAAAAAAGTCAGCTTCATACGATAACAATAACTAAATAAGATAACATAAAAATGGTATAATCAAATGTGATTTTGTAGGTCCCGAATGGATGACAATAAACAGAAAGTAATTGTAGAAGGGGGGTTGAATACAATTATACAGACTTTTTTGAACTTTTTAATTTTTATTGATGTATATCAAAAATTAACACACATATATACAATATAGATTGTTGCAGAAGAATGAAATGATAACCTAACCTAAAAAATCTTACAAAGAGAAGAACTTAGAAGAAGAACACAAAGAGTACTTGCAAGGAAATGAAGAACAATAATGTTTTGTTCATACACATGAAAATAGGAGAGTAGAAGAAGAGAGTTGATTGCCTTGAGAATGCACTTAGAAATTCTTTCAAGGACACTTGTCACCTGAGGATATAAAGGCAGGGGTTGACTTGAGCATTGTTGATATCTCGTTTTCATCATACACCGCGTGCATATAACATTGTTTATGAAGAGACAAACTTTTGCAGAGATACTCAGTTTGTAGGGAGATCTTCTTTGGATGGATTAGTAGCTTCAAGCAGTTACTTATAAATCTTTGGTGCATGAAGATCTTCCTTCAATCAGCTAGTAGCTTCAAAACATCTTCAATCTTCAAATCAACTACTTTGGAGTCTTAGAGTGTAATTTAGACAGTTGATAACAGTACGACATTGGTGATCTTCTGTCTTCATATCGTCTAATCTTTGATTTTACCAACGGCTATAAGTATATACCAAGAAACCAATAACTACTAAGTGTTGATAGAATAGATGAATAGATCAGTGGATCACCACCAAATCAATAGGTGACCCAACAGATTTTACACTAAAATCACGTATAAAATCACATGTGATTCACGCACTTTGGTGCGACCTGAGGGTCATTGACAAAGTCGTCTGATCACCCTTGCGTTACCGTGGTTTTTAATCGCATGTAAAAATCACATGTGAATGCTACATGTTTTTTATTCACATGTAAAAACGAATATGCTTGGTTCTCAAACTAAAGGCCAAGTTCCCGGCCAAGTGAGTGGGACTTTGACTATCACATTGAACCTTCATACTTTCTTGCTTCAATTCCAAATCTTCTAGGAGATGCTTCAAGTGTAAAGCTTCGTTAGCCGCCTTCACTACTACGATTAACGTAGCTTGCTTCTGCAGTGGACATTGCTACTACCATTTGTAGTCGCAATCTCTTACTAATTGATGCCCCACCTAGAATGAATATGTAGCTAGAAGTTGACTTCCATTTCACTCGGTCTCCAGCATAGTCCAAGTCACAAAATCCTTCGAGTTTGCAGCTTTGATCTTTTCCTCCAAAATAGAGTCCATGATCGAGAGTTCCTTTCAAATGTCTTAGGCTCATCTTTACCGCCTCCCAATGTGGTTTGTCTGGATTTGACATGAACAGACTCACCACGCCTACCGAGTGTGCAAGATTGGGTCGTGTGCGCACCATTGCATACATGAGGCTTCCAACCGCGTTTGCATAAGGAATTTTTTACATCTCCTCCTTACCTTTGTCATCATTTGGACAATCTTCTTTTGAGATCCTAAGGTGCATAGGCATTGGTGTGCTAATTAATCGATTTTGCACCTTCCGTGTTCAAGCGTTGATGTACCTTCCGAATGTACTCAGTTAGAGTAAGCTTCAATGTCCTTGAGCTTCTATCTCGAGTGATTTTCATGCTAATGATTTTGTTTGTTTGTCCCAAATACTTCATCTCAAATTCAGACTTCAATTTCTATTTCAAGTTGCTAATTTCTGAAACATCGTGCAAGCTATTAGCATGTCATCAATATAAAGTAGTAAGCAGATCCAAACGACATCATTACAACGAAAATTATGTTTATAATAATTTCACTTCACCCAAAATGCTATCCAACGTCTCGGTTTCGTTCTCAACCTGATGGAAAAACTCAAAGGGGAATTTATATTGATCCATAGGTGGAATTCCAATTTGATCACAATGCTAAAAACTAAAAATAAAAAACATAATTATCAGCGTGCATAGTTGGACCTAATTATAAGGTATGGTCGTGCCTGAGGACCCACGAAATAACACTCGCCCTCCCGTGCTTGACCATAAAGTATGGTCGTGTCAGAACATCCAAAACTTCCTGTTTTACAGTGTAACGTTACGCATGTTCGTGCTCGAATATAAAGTACCGTCATGTCAGAAACTCTAAAATTTTTTGTTTTACATATTTTTGTTTCGTATCACATTTTTCAACAACTATCAACCGTGTTAAAAATATATGATGATATAAATAATGATAAAAGAATTTCTAAAAGGGGAAACTTTATCTTTTAACAAAAAAACAGGTGGAAAGGAATTCACTTCCACGGAAAAATGCTATGGAATGGTAAATTCCACCGTTTGTTGGACTGATTTTCAATAAATTCAATTTCTTTCATTAAAGTTTATCTACTCATAGGTTTTTATTAGAACTCAGATTTTTAAATAAGAACTCAGGTTCTTGTATACATTATTTTTTCTGTTATTATTTTTATATTTGTTAACCATATTTTTTAATAAATCTATAAAATATGAACGTTAAAATTGATAAAAAAAAATATAAAATAATTTTAATTTCGTTTTATTTTTAATTCCTTGTAAATTTGTATACAAGTTTTTGTATTAATAAGTTCAATTTTTAATTATCTTATTATTTTTAGATTATTTAACTACAACAAAATTGGGTTTATAGGACCACTTCAATCTCTAAGTGTCCCAATAGATCATTTTATAGGATTTAATTTATAGGACAAAAATATAAAGCGTCATATCTAAAGGTGTTGTAATAAGTTTATATGATGCTTTTGGGCGTCTTAACAAGTTTTTAAGACATTTTTAATACAAAGTGTCGCATTAGCAACTTTATGACACTTTTGAGAAAGTGTCCTATAAACTCAATTTTTTGTAGGACATTTGTTTTTATAGGACAATTTTTCAAATAGTGTCCTATAAAGTTGCTAATGAGACACTTTATATTAAAAATGTCCTAAAAATCTTATTACGACATCAAAAAAAGGTCATATAAACTTATTACAACGCCTTTAAATAAGACACTTTCGTTTTATAAGCTCAAGAAAGTATTCATTCAAAAAAATGTCCAACACCTAATTGCCAAAAATAGGCTTATTCTTGAAATAAACAACTCGCACACACTCCCTTTCCAAAAAAAAAAAAGATCAAGACACCAAGCACTAACCCCATTCGGAGTTGTTGATATGGCGTGACAACAAGGTCAAGTTTCAAGCCTTAGGA